CTCCCCCCTCCCGTCCGCTCACCCGCATGACACTGATCCTACCCAGCAGCTGCAGCACCTCGAAATCGGCCGAGTCAAAGAAGCCTGGACCAATCTCACGAAGCACACGCTCCTCCAGCTGCTGAGACTGAGGGACACCGGGAAGAGGGGGTGCGAGGTGGAGGAGGAGGAGAAAGCGGTGGGCCCGGGCGGAGCTCCTGGGAGCCCCAGTAGCTTGCGGCCGAGCGCGGGTGGTAGGTGACGGTGGCGGTGGCGGTGGCGCGGGTGATTGAGCGCGGGGTCAGATGCAGAGACGTACGCGGGGCAGGAGGAGGAGAAGGTGGAAATCCTGGGCGTATGGCTGGGCAAGGAATTTGCCCGTACACCATTCCCGGCATAGGATGAGGATGAGGAGGAGGATGATGATGAGGAGGAGGAGAGAAAAGACTGGAAAGCGGGAGCCGTTGTCTTCCCGGTCCCCTCCCCAGTTTCCCTGCCGCCGTACTGGGTACATGCACATGTCTACGGCAGTGAAAACCCCCCTTCCCCTGGATAAGTGAAATCGCCCACGTAGCCTTCTGCAAACTTGTGGCTTCCACCAGGGGCTACACACAAGTGAAAGGAGGTTTGAAGAGCTCTGGGCTGAAGGGGTGTGCGTGTACCGCTAGTCGCTAGTTACTTTGTGTATGAGGAGGTCGGGGTAGCGTTGGCAGGCAACGGGCTGGGCTGGGCTAGGTGGGGTCGGGACGGCTGTTTGCTGTGCGGGCCAACAAACACAGCAGCAGTAGCAGCAGTCGCACCACCAAAGATTGAGGACAGGGTTCCAAACGCATGCCGGGGCCATCAGCTTCGTGATTTTACCACTCGCGCCGTCGCAATCACCGCGGGCGCGCAAGCACGCACACCTGCAGACCGAACACGCCACTTCTTGTCACATCGTCAAAGCCGTCGTAGCTCTTGCGTAGTTCTTCGTCACCGATCGATGCACGGACCTTAGCAGCCTGTTGGCTGAGCATTCGGGCGAGCGCGTCGATGTCGCCCGAACCCGAGGTGTCGTCATCACCGGCAAGACTTCGGACTGGTCGTAAAGCAGGACTACTAATAACGTTGAGCCTCGACTTGTAAGCGAGCCAAGCACGAGCTACCGAAGCGCGAGGCTGGTGCCGCTTGCGTGCGCCCGGGAGGTTTGGAAAGTCGTAACTAAGGAGCATGGTGATGTATGAGAAACGTGGCCATATAAAAATCTAAATGACTTGCATTATAAAAGAAGGCAAACTATCTCGAAATCCAACTGCCCTTCGCTATTAGCGACTCCTACCATATGTACCACAACTTGTCACATCCCAAGACAACTGTTTTCATAAACCGGCAATCCAAGCCTTTCTGATATTTAACGAGGTGTAAATGCTTACTGAGCAACACCACAAGTTTAAGTCGCCTGACTACAGCCGTCGTACACAAATAAGAAATGTGCAATACACTGCTGAGGGTGTATTTCCAGTGCAGATTAAGGCCAGGGATTAAGGTCCCGCTATTCCCGGCTAATCCCCGGCTAATCCCTGGCAATTATTAAGGCCTGGGATTAGCGTGGGATTAAGGCCGTACAAAGGGCGATGCACATTTCTTGATGCGATCTCGAAGCTAATACTACCAGTTCTGAATTGCTTTGGATTAGCACAGGGATTAACACTAATCTATGGCCTTAATCCGCACTGGAAATACACCTCGAGTGTCCTAAAGGTGCGCCAATTAGGTAGTCGCATCCATATCGCCTCAGTTGATGACGATACGACTTTGGGTAGGGTTCTGGAGCAATTTCTACTACGGAGCAGACAACTTCGTGACACCCTATGTACCGCGAATTACATTTCAGTAGCATCAGTGTCTTCGCTGGATGACATGGTTTAATTCGACAGCGGCAGTTGCCCTCGATACACGCAATTGCTCAGTGCCTATGCTTTAATATATTGGTTCTTCTTCCTTTTCGATTTGCTGTTCACAACTTGGTTGTGGGTTCGACCTCACTGAGCAGCATGGCATGGACATTGCTTAAACGTCATCGCGTGATCCGTACTCACTACTAACTTATTGTGGGGAAGGCCATTGCGTCTGCGACCACACTCCCGCGGTACCCAAACCCTTCAAAGACAACTCCGATCAGCCATTTGGCTGTTAGTGGGAGGGCGGGTGGGCCGCTCGCACGGCAATCGAGTAGAGAGTACGAAATAACCTAATGCAGTCATCGTCAACAGAAAACGTAGGCCTCCAGCCTCACGCCGACTCTCTTACCTACATTCATATTTACTACCTCGTTCCCAAGACTCCGCCGCGTTGCCTCTAGTTCGGCTCGTGCCACAGGTAACTTCGCTCGTCGCTACTTTGCCATTCACCTTCGCCTCCACCCAGCCTCTGCTTCTCCACAGAAGCGGCGACCTCCTTCGCCGTTGTTGCGCCTCGTCTATGCGACTCCTCCTCATCCGACTGTGTCTTCTGCCTACCCGGTGCGCGCCCCCTCTCTCTGCGCATCCGTTTCTCCGGCCCTCTCTTACGGTTGCCTACCTTACTGCAGGACTCTCCCCTTGCCTGTCCGGTGCCGGGTAGGCTTTCCTTGCCTCCCTCGGCCCTACTTGGGGCGCCCCTCCCTGGCTCGTCAACTACCTTACTTCCGTCCGTTCCTGCCCCTCGGGGGCCCAACCCCTCCGCCCTTTCCGTGGGCCCGATGCCCGCTCTGGACTTATCTCACGCCCCCGGCCTCTCTGATGCTGCCCCCCCGGTAGGCTTGCCCCTGCGCCTGGGTCCTGTCTCTTCTCTCCGTCGCGCTTACCTCTCTTACCTTCTTCTGCCCTCCAGGCACTGCCGGAGCCTACTCTGCCTCAAATCTTGGCCGCGCGCGTCCGCCCCACTTCCTTACCCTCTGCCGTACTGGACCCACCTTCCAGCCGCCAGCTTTATACCGTCGCCCTCGCGAAGGCCACCACCGTCTGCGACAACTCGCTGGCCCGCGAAACCATTGCCCGTCAGGAAGCTGCCGGTCGGGACCTCTCTGCCTGGCTGGCCTCCCTGCCTCATGGCCATACCCTGCTATCCTGCACCGATGACGACCTACTCGTCTACCTGGAGGCGCACTGGCTCCCCAACCGCCGTGTGGACGACCCGAGCCCCAACACCGTCAACAATCATCTGGGTCTACTCTCCGGACTGTTTAACCGCTTAGGCCGTGGCAGCACTTACGACCGTGAAACCGGCATCGGCAACCCCTGCTGCTCCAGCGCCTTGTCCTCCTACAAGACTGGCTATGGTTGTCTCGCCGCCGACCGTGGCTATGAGGAGCAAGCCGCCGTACCACTCAGCCCTGGCGACTTCACCACCCTCATGGACCACCTCTGGTCTGGCTTCCAGGCATCCACCACCTCCCTGACCCGGCTGCTGCTACTACGCGACCTGCTGTGCTGCCAATTTATGTGGCACACCAGCTACCGCGGCCACGACACCGGCAAACTGCGGCTACGTGACTTCCGTGACCCGCGGGGTGGGGGTCCTTTCCGTGGGTTTCCCCTACCTCTGCCGGACCCGTTTGGTGCCTACCCCTCGCTTTCCTTACGGATCGAACAACTCGGGACCAAAACCTCCAAGGGGCGTCGAGCCCCCCCTTTGGAACTGCGCCCTGACCCTTCTCCACGACATTGCTTCATCCGCACCCTCGCCCTCTATTGGCAGCTGTGCCATGCCCCCGACGCCCCCCCAGGGTCTGCAATCTCCGACTACCTCTTCCGTCCCACTGACCGGGGTCACCAACGCTTCGTTGAGCGTCCGTTTTCCAGCAGCACGTTAGCCATGCGCGTGGGCAAACACCTGGAGGAGGCTGGTGTCTACGTCGGGCAAACCCCTCATGGGTTTCGTCGTGGTACTATCCAGGCCACGCAGGCCGCTGGCGCTTCCCGCGCGGAGCTCCACGCATTCTCCCAAATTCGCAGCGCTCAAGTCCTGGAGCGTTATACCGACGCCTCTCGGCCCACTCGAGTCCCTCGCGGCTCCGGTCCCAGATCCTAGCTTCCGCCTCCTGCTGGTGCTGCCCCTCTTGGCCCTGGCGCTCACATCGTGGCTCGTCTTCCTCCCCTCTCCCCACACATCGACGGGCGGGTGGGTGGGTTCTGACTTGCGCTTGCTTGCACGGTTGCCTGGCGAACTAGCGTTGTCTGGATTCAGCGCTTTGTTCCCAGCTAATCTTTGTAACGCACTACCGTATCAGTCACTGTCCCCTGGCCAATTCCGGTCTGCTCCTCCCGCGCCGCACTTGCCGTACTGCACTACAGGACGAGCACTTAATCAACATGCATTGCTTAAACGTCATCGCGTGATCCGTACTCACTACTAACTTATTGTGGGGAAGGCCATTGCGTCTGCGACCACACTCCCGCGGTACCCAAACCCTTCAAAGACAACTCCGATCAGCCCCAACACACACCGCGGAGCGGTCTCTCCCCCACACACATACCTCCCAGGTGTTAACCCTAGGTCCTCCCGTCCCCCGGCTCTTCCGTCCCTTGCCTCTACCATAGCACATACACAGCCTGTACTCGGTATCGGGGCGTCATAGGGCCCCTTTTTGCGGCGTTGGGCACTTGTGGTCCAGGGATGAAGAGCTCCCTGTGGGCCAGGGTCATCTGCGCTCTGATGGGCAGCGTCCTTAGGATAGCCATCCATGCGCGTGGCCAGACAGGGAGGATCAGTACACAATCGGGCCGCTCCTCCGCCACCTTGCGCAGCACTCTTGCCACGGCACTGAACGGGGGGTTAATGTACAGCAGGGGCCGAACAGTTTCCCCTCCTTCCAGGCGTCCCCACCCCGGAGAACCCCAATCCTGGGCGAAAGCGTCTACTCCTTTGACTCCCGGGCACCAGTTGGCCGCAAAGAAACTACCTGGCACCTTCGTGGTGTGCGCGTCCGCGAAAACGTCCAGAGACGGGCTGCGGCCGTGAACGCAGGGGTGCTCCCACAGCTTTGCGTAGACGGTCGGGTTCAGCATCCACTGTGATCCATCTTCGTATTTGCTGAGCGCGTCTGCCTGCTGTTGCTGCTCCCGGCTGCGTGGGTACCACACCACTGAAATGTCTGTGTCCGTATCGGTGCAGAGGCGGTGGATCTCCGCCACTATGGGCAGGCAAGCGATGTTGCCTTTCATTCCAACCATGCAGAATTCCGCCGGTTGGCTGTCCGTCTGGTATTGCACCGTCCGGCCGTACAACAGGTTCGGTGCCTGCTCTCGCAACCAGTGCAAGCTGTACAGCAGCGCCCGCAGTTCTCTTTCTGTGCTGCTAAAGTCATTCCGCTGCAGCCGCTGGGTTTCCTGGGCTTTGAAGGGCACGAGCATGCGGCTGTTGGCACCCAGTTCTTCCCCAGGTAAGAAGGCTGCGAAGGCCCTGTCCGAGGCGTCCCCGACTAGCTCCGTCGTCAGTCGTAGGGCTGGTCCTTTCCGCCAAGTGGCTGTCCCGTTGCGCCTGTCAAGCAGCTCCATGAACAAGCCTGCCTGGCGTAACACCTCCGCCGGGTCCCAAACCTCTTCGTCCCACGCCACACCCCGGGCTACGCGCCACACCATCCGCGCATACAGAGGTGCCGTGGTGACGGCGGGCGTCATGGCGATGATTTTGCCGGCCACCTGCGCCACCTGCCGCGCTGTTAGCCGCTCGCCTTCGAGCTGTGTAA